AAATTATTTTTGGCAATACTTTCGACTGCTTAACTCAAATATTCTTTTCCTACTCTGCTGTCTTTCACAAATATCCTATTTATATACATTTTTGCCATCATATTACTAGCATCTAATTTTATGACTTGATTTTTAATTCGCTAACCTGCTTTTGCTGGTAACCGTTTTCATCGGCCTGTGGCTGCATGAGGCGCCTGCGAATATGCACTTTACCTTTACCTGTCTGTTTTTCCGCTAATCGCTTTCATCGATCTGCAGCTGCATGACGCCTCGCGAATATACATTTGGTTGTAGAAAATGACTAGGTTTGGGATTTCCGTAACAATACGTTTTCATAGCGAATATACTTTTCATTCGCTTTCCATTCTAACCTATTGGGCATTGGTATATCTACGTATGGATGTGTGTTTACAGCATTTGGTTTATGCCGCTATATTACCAATGATTTGATGTTATAATTCTGCGAAAACCATCGTAATAAATACGATGTTTTTGTTGTTATCATTATTCTTTTTGTTATTTTGCAGTTTCTTATAGCCCACGTTAACGCACTTTACGGCTTTTGTTTTTATTTTGCTATTCTTTAAGCTAAACAAAACTTTTCGCTCTGTGAATGCGGTTCAATCTCGCTTTTAGAAGTCTAAATATCGTAAGGTAACATGAGCCACACACAACTTTGCAGAAAGATATTGAAATTTTCTAAGCGATATGGCCGTTTTTTATTTCCCTTATTTTTCATTTTCTATTTTTTTTCGTGTATGCCAACTTTATTAACGCTTTAATAATGCTTTCGAGAGCCTCTAAGAGTCACCTGCATTTTGAAAAAAAGAAACGTATTTTCTTAAATCGTTTTTATACACATCAACAAAGGATGAGGGTATATTCGTTTGTCAAAACGTTTGCAGCACTCAGAAAGAAGCTTGAGTGACCGTAGAGTATATAAGTTAACACTGTACAGCAAAACGCTGACTGTTGATTAGTGCTACATTAGTGCTTTTATTTTCGTATTAAATATTACTTTATATTAAATACCATTTTTGGATGAACTAGTTTTTAAGTTAGGTTGTAAGGGATTTTCAGTTCTAATAAACTTATCAATATAACAAGACGTGTTAGTTTATATACTCTTGATCAGCATCAAACTCTCACTTGAGTTAAGTGTGTTTGTCTGTCCGTTTGTGCAATGTCTATGACAAACATTCTACTGGCCGCAAAAATAAAGTTATCGATATCAAATTTGGCAGAAACATTGAACACAGGTTGGTATTGAAAGTGGATCAAAAAAGTCTAAGGTTACGCCTTCTATAGGGAAAATATCTCTATTTTTCAAAGAAGAAAGAATTGGTTTCTCGATCACTACTCATAAATGCAGGTGATAAATCTACAAAAATTTATAGCACTCGTACAAAAATGGGACACGACCAAAAATTGACGACGCCTACTCAATATTATAGTGCACTAAGGTTTAATTGTTTTTTCAATGCCTTTATACGGACAGAAGCAACTTTCAAAATCCCCATAAAATATATAAATTCCTGACCAGCTTCAAATTCGGAATGCAACCAAGTATGTCCGTCTCTTCATCTGTCCATCCGTCCCCCTCCCCAACTCGGTAGTATCTATGGTATGCATCCTCCCGCTCGCAAAAAAGGAAGATATCGGCTATAAACTTGAAAAAAAAGTTGAAAATAATTCAAACGAGACGCTTACAACACTCCCACGTGAGAGCATCTTCGCTTTCCATGTTTTTGGCTCGTTACTCATAAAATACAATACATACACCATATAAATTTTCCTTTCATTCCGAAAATAGAAAAAGGGATGGATATAAAAGATCGGTCCCGACCGAATGTAATTTTTGTATTTGTTTAACATAATAAACGAGCTAGTTAGTTAAGCATATAAAAAATAAACATTTCAGCTATATTTTGTAAAAGCTGCATTTACCAATCTTAAAAACTCCCCCGTTGGGGGCACTTGAAGCGTTGGGGGGTTTTCGATGAGTCTATGCTTTTTTGCAGTGGCAAAATAACGCATAACAACATTACCTCAGCCAAATTGTTTCGTTTAGCAGGTGACTACCGCTCGTGTTTAAGCGAAGGATATTAATTGAAATAACTGAAATTTGCAAGGTTATGTGCAAACATATCCAAATTTTGGTTAAATTTACACTGCACACTGCCTTATAAAATAAGTTGCGGCCAAAGCAAACAGAAAAAATTCTTCATTCAAGCATTCACCGATCCTATTTAGAAGATACGTGCAAAATTTCAATAAGATCAATGAATTCAGTTAAGAGGTATGGAGTCAATCGACTTCAAAAGTAAAGTTTTGAGAAATACGCATTTACTAACCTTGCTAGCGAAAACCAAAATGGACTTTTGGCAGCTTTTTAAAAGAAATCCAAGTTATACAAATTTTATATATTATTATACAATAAAGCTAATACTCAGTTTTGGAGAGAATTAAAAAAATCAGCTTCGAATAATAATCCAAAACCATTTATAGAAACACTTCAATGGGAGTGATATGGAACAGAGTCAAACTAGCAGAAGTGAAAAAAAGTTGCTCATTTGCAGAACACCCTTATAAATACCTACATAATTTACCAGTTAAAAATGCGTAAATTCTCAACGTTGTGGGCTCACGTTTTCAAACAAATACTGTTGGAAGCTACAATGCCTTCAATTGAAAAATGTCATTCAACCTAGGATGAAAGACATACTTTGCTTTGCGTGGTCAAGCTTTGTTCATGTAAACACCGCTGCTTATCTTAGCAAAATGCTCATTTTAAGCAAAATTGACTATGGTTTTATCATATACGGCAGCAAAAGCAAATCGAATATATATATTAGAGCTAGTGCATGTGCTTCCCGAGCAACACCGATCAACAATATCATTACATCATATCAGTCATCATCCGACAACTTAATACTCAGCCAAGATGCTAAAAAGGCTCTTATTGCCTGAAGAATCAAGAGATAATAATCCCCAATTAACTCCTATATAGGTGTTGCAAAAGAAATAATCATTCCCCTAAACATTTTCTGAAAATATAGGACTACATCGCCGCGGGCTTTAAACGTCAACTCTTGTGACATTTCACTCTCATCATTCAAAAGGCTATGCAAGCCAAATCTCGTCTTCAGAGAAAACTAATACTTGGGCAAATAATGTTTGGCATCATCTTTTTACAGGAGTTTCTAAGAGTGATGACTTGGCCCCTGTCTACCCAATAGTAGATGCCACAGGGGAAATGCAAATTAATCCAACATATACCCGCGAAGCTAAAGCTATTCTTCAGGCCACAAATCTTGTCTGTAAAGCTAAACTTAAAACGGTTACCAGCACAGATAGTTTCTCGGCCGTAAAAGCTCTCTTCAACCTCTTAAATTTCAACTGGAACACTGTTAACGAAACAAAAAATATCATCGCCACGCACTGAAACAAAACTAAAACTTTTTTGGGTTCCAAGTCATATTGGTATCTTGAGAAATGAGCGAACAGACTTAGCGGCCAAATCCCCAACTTTCACACCTTCAATTATGGACGACACAATAAAAAAGTTTAATCTTCGAAAATATATTAGGATAAAATTAAAGATCATCTGATCTGCGATTGTGGGCAACATTTTGCGATTAAGCATATGCTGTTTGAATGCCAAAACCTTCCTAATATTCGAAAATCAATTTTGGCATTTAACGCTATGAACATCTTGAAAATATCTTTAGTACTTAATATCAATAAAATGTTAAATTTTATTAAAGATGTGTAAGTAATCATCCAATCTACCCAAAAAAGAAGAAAAAGAGCTGATAGTCTTAGTTGGTCATTCTACTTTTAGTCCTACAATTTATTCTTTTGGTCTAAATAAATTATAATAAGAATAATAATAATATTATAATGAACTAGTGAATTAGTATCCTCTCAATCGTTATTTGATGTTCAACACTTGGATTTTAACTTGAATTGTAATGAGAATAATAATGAGTGGATAAATGGATATTACATTAATATTTGTTACAAAATAAATATAAACATAAATAAATAAATAATTCATTAGGAACGTTTGCTTTTTATCGTATACCTAACCTAAGCAAACCGCTGTTCACAATGTTACTTATAACATTTATAAAATCCTGTTTTAAATCTGCGTGCATTGCCGGCAGAGAACTCCAGAATCGGATACCGTTTACGTAAAATTTACTCAATTGAATGTTGTAATTTGTATAGAATATCTGCGAGAACGTAAGCATTTTACATTTCCACAGATTATCAAAAGTCATTGCAACGTATCGTTCGACAAAGTGTGAAACACTGTTAAAGAATACCCTACATTTTCTCCGGTTAGCAGAGTCATATTTCCTGAATAACTCACAGCAACACAGAAGTACAGCCATTAAATATGGTTTTGCTGTAACAATAAATAGAGAATTTTAGATGGTGTTGATAACGGTTGCAGTCAAAGTGATCTGACTATAAGCTGCTGCCAACCGTGGCATTGATAAGATCGGTCCATGTTAAGTCAGAATAGGTTTAAAAACAACGCAAAACTTTTAGACAAACTTTACTATCTATATTTGTTTACCGTTTAGCATTACAACAACAGGCTGTTAAAAGATACTCAGTGTTGTACTCTTTTCAGACAGTTATTTAGTTTTAATACAACGTCCCGGTTTTCGACATTGTGTAAAAATGTGACGCGTTTGTTTAGCGATTATGAATTCACGTACTTTTGACATGTACGGAAGATGTGAAATCGGCCAAAACTCATTGTTTGTTTTTAGAACTGTAACGATTTTGGAACTTGTAGACGTAATTAAAATATATGCATGTGATAAGTTTCAGCCGAAAGGTAAATTACAGCTATTTCAGCTGCTTAGGGGCTAAATATTATGAACACGGGTAACAAGGATTAACAATAGAGAATTCGCTATGTAAATTGTAAAAATTGCAATGTAAATGTAAACTTTGAAATTAGTGTAAATTTGTTTACTTACAAATGTCATCATTGCTCATATTTTCTCAACGATTACTCTCTCTTATTGCCGTCGATTGATGATTGGTGCTCCGTGTTTTATGCTTGTTCTAAAGCAATCCAAGTAACAATGATAATAACAATAACACCATCAACAGGAAAAAAAATTATTCTTATCAAGTTTGCTAAATTATTTAAAAAATGCGTAACTTGTGTAGGCGACCAGAGTACACACTAAAAATTAAAGAGATTATTTGGTAAATACACACTACAAAAAAAAAACATTGAAAATATTATATACATTCGTTTGAACGGAAGTTTTTGTTCTTTATTAATGAAGTGTTGTTCACTCAATCCGTCATTCGACACAATTTAGATTAAATAATGATAAATTGTAATAAAAGAAACAAAGACAATAAGAAAAAATAGTCTTCAACATTTCTTATCTTTGTTAAGATTTTCGACGAAAATCGTTCACAAGGTAAGAGCGTACAGATAAAGAATTATGTCTTTGTTTGCGGGAATGCTGTTAATTATTAACACTAAACGTACCATGCGTACCATAAAATATACATACATCGAAAAGCGGGGAACGAGTTTTTATTGTAGCATCAGAAAAATATTCTGTTTACTATCTACTTTACTAAGATACATACGTTTTTTTTTGAAGCGGTCATTTGACCGTTCATGGTAGGATGAAATGTCGATACGTTTAGTATTAAAGTTTGCATTAACCTTATATAGAAAAGCAAACTTACTGAAAATAAAAGAAACTTTTTAAGTTTGAAATGAATTTTATGAGCTTATTTTTTTCCAAGGAAATAATTTTGTATTATACATACATTTATAAACCAAATTAGAAAAAAGAAACCATAATATATAAAAAATTCGAAATAAGTTCTCTGGTATCTCCTTTTTATATGTATGTATATATGTTACAATACGTTAAATGTATAATAACACTGTATAGAAACGTGCCCATTGTATGGTAACGTAACATACGTTACAATTGGGTATCTAAAAAATGATGCAACCCAACTCACCCCCAACCTCAACAACTACAAGAGACAACTACGTAGTTTTAATTCTTGAAAGATATTTAGAAAGCTTCGCAATGTTTTCATACTTGAACTTTGGAATAAAGAGAAAAAAGGGGAAAAGGCTCTTTTCTGCACATAATATATGTGGCCTAAAGGTTTACTCAACCCTTAGTTTACACAAATAGATGTTTCCTAAAAGACCGCACTTTTCTTAAAAACATCACAGAATTAGGAACTAATCACTTCAACTTTTAATTCATTTTTCGCTTTAACTTTCGCGAAGTATAGATGTGTTTTATGAAATTCTTGAGATTTCAGATACAGACGGACATGTTTAAATCGATCTAGAATTTGATTCTAATCCACAATATATACACTTCGTGGGATCTCTGATGCTTCCTTCTGGGCGTTGCAAACGATTTGGTAAAATGCATACACTCCACATCCCTCGGTGATGGGTACAAAAAAAAGCAAAAGTCCAAAATCCGTCTGTACAGTGTAGAGAGGGATGTTGATTTAGCCAATTGGAACACACATAGATATGCTAACCTATTAACAAACTAACCGACATAGTGAAAAATAGACAGAAAAAGAAGAACAAAATTTTTAAGCATAAGACAACATAAGCAATTCCTCACTCAAGAATTGTCGTTCAGTGAAGTAATACGTCAACGTATTAAATTTTTTTTTGTAAATTATACACAAAATGGATTAGCTTTGTATATTTTAAATAAAGTGGACTCAAGAACTGCAGTTCATATAACTTTAAAAGAAGAAATATATGCAGAAATGAAGTGAATTAAAAGATACAATGATATATGGAACAAAGTAAGTTAAAATAAAAATAGGTTTAAATGAAAATAAGTTAGAAAAGTAATACGTTAAACATAAAAACTATACATTTTAAAAAGTCGCAAAATTTGTACTTACTCACAAACTTAAGTCTGAAATAAAACTTTTTATAAAAACCGTATGCTTACCATAGACACTTGGAACAAAAAAGAATTAAAAATCAGTGTTAAAACAAATGCCATCAAACTAGATATAATTTAATTCACCTACGAACCTTCATCATAATAAAAACAAATTCCTAGATTTCTTTGTCAATTTACGATTATGAGATAATTTTTACTATGAAAAATTGGAAGAGGAGCTGAATATAAAGTAAATTTTATTTATTTTTTTTTCAACATATATATTTCACTCCTTCTATTATCTGCTTAAGTGATGGTTTTGTGGTAAAAAAGCCATGCTCTCGATAAAGGGATATAAAATGTGAAAGGTATGTGTATAATAGATTAGGACTTGACGGACAGACAATTGCATGAACAGACCAACGGTGTAGCGACGAGAACAGAAAACGGGCGGTGACATAATAGCAAACGGAAGGTGTGATGGAGTAACAAACTGACAGAGAATGCAGTAATCAGTGATAGTAATATAAATGTACATTTATTCAAGTATTTTAATAGGAATTAATTCTTCTTTATATAATAACCATGGGCTAGTTAGACAAAACAATAAAAAAACCCTACCCTTTTCGTCATAAATTCATATTCAAATTCAAATGTATTAATCAAAAATATTGGTAATTTAATGTACTTAAGAGAAAAGTTGTCATGACGGTATTACGTTACTCATTTGCAAATGCGACCAAAACTCAATATTATCAAGAAAATGAATGCTTTATATGGGAAGTAAAACCAAATGTCTATTTGAAGCAATAAGAATAGACTTTATCAGTCCATCAATACGTAGCCGTTAGAAATATTTTTATAAATTAAAATGAATTTATGTAATCATGCCATTATTAAACGAGGTAATAATAAGATTTTGATTTAAAAGCCCGTTAATCTCGATTTTAAAGAAAAAGTTGTCATTCACTTGTTCATATACATATAAAATATACTTTTGCATATTAATACTGATAAATAATAAATCGATAACAAGCGAGCACTGCACAAAAAGAGGATCCTATATGAAAGGTCGATAACTAAGGTGGACAAGGAGGAGATTAAATAATATGAGCATCGCCGCCCGCGAAACTGCTAGCTAGAATAGATAATTAGATAGTGCTACATACATATCTTCCTTAAACGATCAGGTTGCCCTCAGACATATAGCGTGCTCGACAAGCATTCTATCGGCCTTATCCAATGTATTTGAACAATTCACTGTAGCTCAGATAGAGCTTCGTCTGAAAAATAATAAACTATTAAATGTGGAGTAATAATGCTATAAATACGGACATACTTCTAATACCGCTGCATTAAAAGTTCTCGAGAATATTCGCCTAGTGGGCGACAAAGGTTAGCTTACGATTTTGGTCGTGATAAGTCTTTCTAAAACTTGTGATATTATTAATTACGATCGACTATTAAGAAAACTTTAAATACTGAGAGAGCCGTTTAGTCGCGTTAAAAAACTTAATTGGACTTAGCTCCGTAAAACCCTTTTGTCCTGGATATGTCTATGCAAAAGAACTACGCGATCCACATTACAATTATGCACAAGTCTATTAAAAGTTTTCGATACATTCTCGTCGCCACTGAGTATCTCAGTCTTCCCCTGCGTTTGATCGTGGGCTTTCAAGTATAAGAATATCGGGTGCAGTGATACCTTTCATGTCTTTGACAGTGCCTTCCTACTTTTCGAATACAAGTTCTGCTCAACGTACATCATTTTGTATTCTCATGTCCAGAACATCCAGGGTTGCTGATTCTTCTACATTGACACAAGTAGAGGACAGGCATTATTCATCATAAGTGTTAGGAAATAGCGATTTCCTTGTACATCAAAGTATACCCTGGTAGCCCAATCGTTTATTTAGGAAATATGATTAAATCGGATGAAGTTGTCATTGATACCGAAAGGAAAATCATTACCCTTTCCTTTGCTTGCTGCAAAGATTGCGTAGTGGTAGGGCGGCGCACTTATTTAGGACTACGGCTACGACGACATTTAGCGCTGGAGTTTTGTGACTATTGAAACTGGCCTTTTCGACGACTTTCATTTAAAAGAATGAAGTCGGCTTCGACCACTTTACTCTTTTGAGCGTGCGCAGTGTTAGATTGTTTGAAGGAAACATTTCAGTCAATACATTACCATTATCGATCGATTCGGATATTTTTCGACCATTATTCAGAAGATCAATGGAAACGCGGAATCGATGCAGCAGAATGATTTCCAATTGCTTTTACAAACGACTAAATGCTGCTGCTGCTTGGTGCAGCACAAACTTTGATACGCAGGTACCGCTCGTACGGGGCTTTTTTGCGATGAATTAGCTGATTGCAAATATTTACAGATTATTTGCCAAGCAGACTAGTTTTGTCGTTTGGGTTAAAACGACAAACCTTAAAAACTTTTTCGCTGAACCCGACTTCACCTTCGCAAATCTGATTGATAGAACAATTGTTGAATGTAAGTTCGCATTCCATATTTAATGATTTTTTGCGCCACTTCTGCACGGCACAGTTTAATATTTTTCAAACATATTTTGCAGTTTGCTGAAGAAAACATTGAACCCTACCCAATTTTCTTTATCGTTCGTAAGATTATACATTAGCCCATTTACAACCATTAACAAATTTTCAATTGTCATAATCTTCGCGTCGCATTCCTTCGAAATTGTACGTGTAGAACGACGTAACCAGATAAATATTTCACGTCACTTTCAATTGCTGCAGAGATGGATAGATGTAACTAAATCGGACCGTCTATTAACCAATTTAGTCATATCCATGTACAAAAGTACAGATACACAGGCGCTTCTATGCCTTTTTCCGCGCTACAAAGATTCTACAATTTTACATAATGCCTGTAGCAAAAATAAATACTTTTATTAAATTCAATCGAAGACAAAGTAATGTAAACAAGCAAAAAAGTGATTCAAACATACACATTTTTTTTCAATGTTTTATTAAAATTTACTACAAAGTTTTGATATACTTTTATACATTACGGGTAAATTCTGAATAATACATATATCATAGAAAGGTAAACCTCGGATGTTTTCGATATTGTTTGATAATGCTGATTTATATTCAAATAGAATTTCGATCATAAAAATATTTTTAAAAGATAAAATTGAAAAAAATTAATTTTTTAAATGCAAGTGCAATTAGACGTATCAAAGAAAGTTGTGCATGACGAGTTTAGAGTAGTGTATATCACTAAAGAGACCTTCAAGTTTTACTTCACTATAATTACTAGGGCGAATTTGTTGTTGCCAGAATGAGCCTATCCGAACCTTGAGCGTTTTTAATAAATTTAATTAAAATTGCAAAAAATCATAGTGCTCAAATTGGCCCGTTATTTTAACCAATTAACCACTTTTAGCAAT